GGATTCGTGGGAGGCATTGTTATGAGCTCTGGGTATTCAGCTCAACTCATATAGGACATTGTTGTGGGATCCAGGCCCTCAGCTGGATTCCTTGGTCTTAGTGTGTGGACAGATTTCCTGCACTCTTTTGTATACTGTTTTTTGGGTGACTCTTATAAATAATCATATAAAGTATGTGTCCTGTATTATATTGTTCTCCTTGCAAAATAAGCCCCAAACCAACACAGTGGCTGCTTCCCATTCTGAGCAACTGAATCACCTAACGTTAAGTCAGTCCAAAAATCCTTTACCAAAGACTCACTATTGCTGATCCCCCAGGATACAATGATGAGCAGGAGGTCTGTTTCTGATCTCTAGGAACTGTCCATAGTTTAAAGGAATCCTCTAGTGCTGAACTGCAAGCTCTTCTTTTCCAGGTTGTTCTCTTCAGCTGGCTTTGGTGCATAGGATGGAAAAAAAAATTAAATCTGATCTGAAAAATAAAAACAAAACTCCTTAATTATTTGTTTGAGTGAATCAGAAGTCAGCACGATCTTCTATCTGGTAATTACCCTGTTGTAGAGAAAATATTTATGGATTTTGAGCAGGACTCTAGGTCATGGCAAAGCTGGAGACCAGGGCATAGTAAACCAGGTAGTGGCGACTTGTTAATTAAAAAATCCGAAGACACATGCACAGAACAGTTCCCAAAGCCCTGCACATGGACTTTTCACGAGAACTCAAGCAGTTTGGGACAGGATGGCCTAGACCTGACATCAGCAATACAAAAAGGACAGTCGATACTGAGGTCTTTGCTACTGTGTTCTTTCACAGCCCACCTCATGCTGTAGGTTGTACTCCCCCCCATCCTTACTTGCCCCAAATTCACTCTGCAGAGCCTGTTTCTTTTCCTGTCTTTCGTTAATGTAAAATCTCACTAATGTTTGTACTTGTCTGGATCTATTCTTTGCTCAGGACAGAAAGAACCTAGAAACCACCTCTGGAAGGAGACTCCAGCACTCTACAACCCTAACAATTTGAATTTTGGCTTTATTATAGGTGCTTAATAAATATTTGTGGAGAGAATGAATATCCCAGTCACCAAAGCATTTTTTTGTACAGTTCTTTTAAGATCTGCCTACCCAAGAGTAGGAATGGGAGCATCCTTAGTTCCTATCGAAGGGCCCAGCATCACAGAAACTCAGGCATGATGGGTGGTTAAAGTAGCCATTATTGTGATCACATTCACTGCTTGTAAACATCAATAATGTGTCCCAAAGGGTGGCTGGTCTATCCTGTGCCCTGAAATCTGATTAGCTCTTCAAATCAGTGCCCCATTTACTGAGCAGGAGCAGTGCAGGTTGTTGAAGGATGAGCACCAGCTCTTGTTTCCTACGAATTACAGTCTAGACAGTGAGGGTGGTAGGGTACAGCACAGAGGGTGACCTGCGTGTGAGCTCTGGATGTCGCCCCAGATCTACACAAGCCACTGGGGTCTGGGCATGCTGCCGGCACCCTCTGAGCCTTGGGAGTTTTGTCCTGCCTCCTGCAGCTCAGATTGTTGGGAGGATAACGAGAGTAGGGCTGCTGTAACAAAACACCACAGAGCGAGCGGCTTCACCAGCAGAAATGGATTTTCCCAGGTTCTGGAGGCTCGCAGTCCCAGATCAGGATGTGGGCAGGTTTGGTTGCCACTGCAGCTTCTTTCCCGGGCTTGCAGATTGCTGCCCTCTTGCTGCCTCGGCACGGGGTCACTCCTCGGCATGAACACCCTTGGGGTCCTGTTCTTGTAAGGACACAGTCAGTTTAGATCAGGGTCCACCTTCATGGCCTTATTATATCTTAGTCTCTCCCTGAGAAGTCCCAGTCTTTGTTGCTTTCTTGTTGCTGAGATACA